AGATGCAAATGAATTCATATTAATACTTACCAACAAGACCAATAATGTCTAAAGTTGTATTTTGAATTGAATCGGTAATTGTAATTCGTTCCTCTTTCTTATTACCAATTTGTTTCATCCATAGATCTCTTAATTTATAGCCAGCTTGAATGATTGTTGGGAGCATTTCCTTAAAAAGTTAAATAAAAATAATAATTAGATATAATAATACAAAATACTTCTTTAACAAACTGTAATATTAATAACTTTAAAAGAATACCTTGATATTGACATGAGCAAATGAAGGAGACATCATCCTTCTTTGTCTTTTATGAACATTTCCTTCAGCAAATAAAAGACCTTCACCCAAAACATCCTTGATCGGAGGTTTATTAAAAACATCTCTCGGATATTCATATGTATGAGTTGATAGTATTTGTTGGACAAGTTTTTGGTCTGAAACTAAGATGTAGGGTTTATTAAATAAGCTATGATACCTAACTATTCCACCATATTGTTCAACTAAGTGAGAAAAAGCTTTATTCCTATTTTTATTTAATAAAGAGGCATAATGTCCAAGAATAAAATTGTCAACAGGTGGACCAGGAACTTTCCGTAAAGGAGACAAATATAAGGGATAAATATAACATTTGTATAAAATGTAACCAAGGACAACAATTGCTGCTAAGTAATGATACATTTTTAAAGTATTTTAGAAGTGAATTTGATTTTAAGTATTTTAGAAGTGAATATAATATTCTAATGTTTCTTGCGACCATTCTTTCCCATCATTTTTATACATTTTTATATCTTAGATTTCTTATATCAATGACAATAATTTGTATATTTAAAAGCGAAAATTTACCCGAGGATTACAATTACGGCAAACATTTAACCGAGGATTACACAAAATTTGTCATCAGAAATCTGTTTTAACAATGTGCATGCATTTGTTTTTAAAAGTTGTTATCTAACAATTAGAACAATTTTTATGAGCAGTCAATACATATTTAGAAAGCAAATCAATAAATCGGAAAATTATCATTTGAAATTTGGTGTTACATATCGCGGGTTAATAAGTGACTTACGCCACTAAAAATCTAACACAAACGGTAAACATCTCCGGGTCGTCGACTACCACGGCTCATAATGCACGTAATAAGTATTTTCTTTGAGTTAATTCACTTATTTTTCGAAATTAAGAGCATTAACATTACGTATTCATTTATTTCAAATACAATTTTTGATTTTAACTAATTACAGGATACACGTTGATCACTTTTAAGACTTGGGAGAGCTTTCCACTTGTGTTCAATTTAACAGTGGCGTTAACATTAAAGTTTGAACAATAATTATTCAAAAAGAATAGTCTAGTCTTTATTTGTAATACAAGAAAAGCGCAACCCAAATATGTAAAATGCGCAAGAATAGGTTCTTTATTTAGTAATATAGTCATGCCAAAAAGGAAATGTCGTGCGATTGTACAAAAAGGATCTTATTTCTAAAAACGATCATTAACCCTCTTTATACGTATGAGTGCTTCAAAGAGAAACTGAATCCGGAAAGTACAAGTTATTAAGTCATTAGTGATGATAGTAACCTGTGCTTTCCAGATTAGCTCGAAAGCTCAATAAAGTAACTATATGTCTATCATTACATAATCATAAATTGATTTAACATCACCCCATTTTGACTTTTTAAATTAATGATTACTAATGTTTATGCACAATGAATATTATACAGTCTCGATATCCCAAATTAGGAAACGAGTTCTGGAAAAATCCACATGTCAATCCTTGAATTTGCGATTATTAGATAGTGTATCGTACAGAAGTGACAGTTCCCAATCCAAAGTGAATCCCTCTCGCCTGTGATCAATCATAAATTAAATTATTTATGTTGCATTCAATTGTGATGGATATAATCCCTCACCAGTTTCAATATACGTGTAAGATTAACGGTCTCTGCTGTAAGAGTATCGTCGGTTTCTACTGCAAACTTCTTCATAATCAAAGTCTGGATAATATTCTATAGTGCCAATTAGGGCACTTTACAGTCATTTGACGGCTATCATATAATATTTTAGATTGATTAAGTCTATTAGAAATGACCAGTTACCACTAGGATGTGATCAATCAACTTGTGCGACAATAAACACTAACTAATTAATTAATATAAATCAATAGTTAGTGCTTATTCTTCACACAAGTTAATTGGTCACATCTTAGTAGTAACTGGAAAGAAAAGTCATTTATAAAAATAACAGAGATAGACTTGATCTATTTAAAGTTGTTAATTAATTCTATAAATAAACAATATAATAAAGTTACCAATAAAAATTTCACATTCATTCAGATCACAAAAATTCTTCGAAAAACAAATCACCGAATACCCAGAAGTGAAACTTTTGTGATGCAAAATAAACATTAGTAAATTAAACCGTTCTAATAATAAAATAAACTCTCTTTTATTATTGATTATTAAAACCAGTTAAGATTATATTACAAGCATATTTCTAGTGCTTTTATGCAATATAAATATAATTAATTGCTTTTTCTATTTACTATAGTATTTATTGTTTTAATATTTCAATAGATTTAATAACAAGCGTAATCAATTGTGTGGTTTATTTTTATTAGAATTATAATGAATAAAGCTTACAGTAAAATTAATTTAATTCTAATTTTATTTAAAATAATTAAACAAATGTTTATAATAACCCCTCAGCTGAAGTCTCCCCCCGTAAAATGAACAACCAATGAAAACGTTGGATAACTCTCACCAATCACTTGATTTACATAAACCAATCAAATTAACTCATATTTTTCATTTTATATGTTCGTTTTTTTTTATTCACCCTCCAAGAATTCTAAAAGTGTTGCTAACAGAAAACTCAATTGCAAGCGGCCTAATAAACACTACATTAAACATGCCGAAACCATTAATTTATCGAACTAGGGGTAGCTGCGCGACGTAGTCGCGCTAAAACCAGGAACGTTGTATAATTTTATTTATGAATAGTTGCATAATTGATTAACGAAGATTTATGAAATTGATATGAGATAGGATTGATTTTTATTTATGTAATTTTTCGAGGTTTATAAATTTTTAACAAAAGTTAATTTATGCTGATATTAAGAGTAGAAAAATTTAGGTAAATATAAAGCAGTATGGAAATTTTTTTTTACTAGAGTTTTTAAAGTAGTTTATTAATAAAGGAATTAATTATTTATTCAGGGTACTACTGTTATAAATATAAGAGTTATTGAAACTAATATATTTTGGAGTGCATTCGGTATACTTTTAAATTTTTTTAGTATTTTTTAACGAAAAAAGAGATCTTTTCTTAACTTATTATAGAGACATATTTATATTTTTATTACTATTTAGTAATTCTAATTCTAATTATACTCTCTATTAAGCTAAAATTAGCTATTAGACACAAATTAGCTATTTTGTTCAAATTAAGTATTATACAAATGTAAAGTGTAATTTAACTATACAATTTAAACGTTACGCAGAATTTTAAAGGTTAAATTGTTAGACAAAAGCTTAAATGTTAATCTGTTACGAAATTTTTGGTAATAGTGTGAATAAATAAGTAGTAAATGAATAATTTAATTGGTTATTGCGGAATTTTAGTAGGGCTTGATTTATGTGATAAATCTGTGATAAAATTTGGAATTTAAAGCAAATAGTATTGCAGTGAATATTAATATAGAGTTAAATTTTCTTATATGCACGTTTTTGTGATTGATGATAAGTGTGCATTTGTAAAGGGTGTGCAGTTTTTGAGAGTAATTTTATAAGTCGTATTTATTGAGAATATTTTTATAAGTTATTATTTATTAACAAGGTAACGATACAATTATAGAGGGTGTGAATTTATTGATTGTGTATATATAGGGTATGACTATAAGTAGAATCGTATTATCGTAAATAATTATTGGTAAAATTAAGAGTCAGTCATCAGGCCATTGTTCTAAATGTGCTGTTGTTTGAGCGCATTTATTTAGTCGATCGATTTCATCTTGGAGAGTGGAAGGCAATTTCAGGTTGAGTATAGACTCTTTAAAAGGCTTTAATATTAATATGTCATTGAGTTTTGCGCACGAGAAAGCATTACGTATGTGCTATTATAAGCACCGTTACTTGTTAAGTCAATAATTACTTTATTTAAGGTACGTCCTTGACATTTGTAATCTGTAAATGCGTAAGCTGGTGTTAGAGGAAGTTGTAGACGTTGGAATCTTTTTTGTAGTGTGGTTCCATCACATTTGTAAGCAGTGTATGTGCATTCGCGTTTAATAGGATAAATCAGAACGTGGTTTGGAGGTAGGTCTTTATAAGATCCAGTTGTCGAGTTTAGTAATTCAACTATGACGTATTTAGGAGGTTTATTAAGCATGAAATTATTTTTTTTGTTTGGGAAAATATTGATAGAGTTTTCGTCATATACGATCTGTCGAATAATTCCTTGCGTTCCATTCGCTAAATTGTCATATATACATATGTTAACAGTTAACGTGACTTTCATCCCGATAAATAGAGGTAAAATGCCGCAAAGAGCATTTTGTTGGGTGTCCGAAGTTGATAAAAATCGTGTACGAATAGTACCTGTTAAAGGTTTTTTACGGTAGGTGTCTTGAGCATAAGAGTAAATAAGAGGTTGATAAAGATCTTGTGCATGCTCTTTGGCAGTTTCAAAGTTTAATTGGATTCGAATATCATTTCATGTTACAAGAAAAGTAGCATTTTTCCATTCTTTGGATTTTATTTGATCGTCACTTATTATTCTTAGTCATAAAGCTTCTTTTTGAGTTTCATTAAGATTTCCTTTGCGCATATTTTCTAATAAAGATGCATAAAAATGGTCATTAATTTGTCGCATTGGTTTTTCGAGTTCAATAACATGATTAACGCTCAACCATAGATTTCTACCTATAGCATTAGTAATAGAGCGATTGTTAATTGTAGAATTAGTAACATTTTTATGGTTCATATTTTGTTTTGAATAATTATTATTATTGGAAGTTTCATTATAAGGAGCCAATTTGGTTGTGGTAATTTTATTTGGTACGTAGTGCGGTGTCAAGGACTGGAGGCAATTGCATGAAGTCTCCGCAAAAAAGAATGTTGATTCTGGCAAAAGGGATAGATGTATTGGTTGCTTTTACTATTTTTAAAAAAGAATAGAATCGTGCAAGAAGAGATTGACCTATCATTGAAATTTTATCTATTATGACATATTGGATTTTACTCCAGATTTCTTGCAATTGTTTTAAATGTTCACCAGCTAGATTATTTTTTTTGTAGGTTTCGAAGCCAAATCCACACGCAGAATGTATTGTGTATCCATATATATTGGTAGCTGCAATTCCTGTAGGTGCAAGGACAAGTAGCATATCTTGTTGGTTAATATGTTCAAAGTATGAGCATATTGATCGTATAACTTTTGATTTGCCAGTGCACCTGCACCAGAGAGAAATAGCAGTAATTGGGATGGTTTGATCAGGTTAGCAGGTTGGTTTCTTCGATGATGGTCACAAACGAAAAAGTAGGCTTTTTTTTGTTTTTCATTTAACCCAGTCGCAAATTTTTCCATAAGATTTACAAAACTAGTGTTAATTGGTGTAGAAAATAGTTTATTATGGTGAGGAGTGATAAATAATTTTGATGGTAAATTGTCGTCATCATTATTATCGTTTTGCTAAATTGTTTTTCGAGATGCAATTGTTGAACGCCATGTTCCGAGAAGTTCGTTATCATAGTCATTAGTATGGCATATATTTTTTTCAGTAGGTAGTATATTCATGAATAAGTTGTTATTAATATTGTTGTTAAGAAAACTGAATTTATTTAAAGAAAATCTGTTCCTAATATGTAAATAATTTATAGCAGTATCTACTGCGTTCAAGTCTTTTAACCCATTTCTGATAATCAGTATAGGATCAATTTCAATCAAATTATTTTCGGGGTCTTGTGGTAACGGATGAGCATTGTCATTGTCAGACGAAAAGTATTCATCTTCACTATTATATTCAGGTGCAGAACGGGTAATACGTTGAATTTTTGTGAATAATGGATCATTTTTGGCTTTTTTTTTAAATTCGCGATCTAAATCAGATTCTTCTGAACATCGGTGGATTAATTCAATATTGTCAATAATATTTCGCAAACGTGGTGATAATAAAGGATTATTTAGAAAGATTTTACACGCTTTTGACCAGGAGGTATAGTTTTATCGGAGATCGTGAACATTATTCCATGGTTTAAAAAGCATAAGTATGCATAATCCGTATCGTTCAGCGTTTTCAGTATCATTTTTTTTTGGAATTCTTTTACCATTTAATATAATTATTCTTTCAGTGCCTCTTTTTCGATGTAATTGAATGTGGGTGTTACATTGAGGGTGCTTAAAATCATCATTGCTTTCGTAACCTTGGAATAAGAAATGATCAATGCATTCATTACCATTTCTTGTTGACTGGTTTGCTAACATATTAAGGTGGAAGGAGTTTAAAGAAACCTTTTGTATCGTAGAGGCATAGTCATAAAGACACATATTGCTTAGAAATTGACCTCAAAATTGGTAATCAATGCGAAGATTAGCGGTTGTTAGATTATTATCAGATGCTGTGATTAAAAAAGATTCTGGTATAAAGTTTTGATCATTATCTTGAGTATATTGCCAATAATCGGCATTGTCTACAATATTATAGTTATATGCGGTCCATTTATTTATAAGATAATATTCAAAGGAATGGACATGAATATGAGCAAATTTACAAGGAGTATAGTGATCATTAAGTCCTAGTAAATAAGCAGAAATTTGGGGGCCAGTAAGTTCAGTTTGACCGGCTATTCTATTAAGACATTTCGTGATGAGCTTACGCGAGTGGTCTATGAGAGTAATCGAGAGATTATTAGATGCTTGTTTTAAGAAATTTTGTAAGGTAATAGCACACATAGAAATGAATTGTGTATATTGATATTAGATTTAGTGATGTAATTAGTGATATAGTATATATAGGATAGTGCTAATTTTCTGGTAGAAATGAATTTAATATCATTGTTTCCCCTACATGAAGATGTTATATAAGGGTTATGATTGTTAATAAATGCGTTAGTACATTGAACAGAAATAACGCCTTGTTCTGGAATAATTATACTGGGAGGGTTAACTAATTCTCGTGGAAAATCAAATCTACATTCATGAAGAAAACCATGATTGTATTTTTTGCAGAATTTATTACAATGGTAAAATAATGTGCGTTTAACAATAGAAAGCAAATCTAAATGAAAATTTTCAGCAAAATTGGATAAATTAGGATCCAGGATGGAAAAAAATGATGGGTGCATTCGTCTTTCTTCAACTGATTTTGGAGTTTTATACTCGGTCTCTAGCATTTTATCAGTTATGATTTCACCATTAGTAAAATAATTAATGTCTTCTCGAACAATATCGCTAACATATGATAATAAGCATTGACAGAATTCATTATCGTCTTTAAGTTTTTTTCGGATTTCGATCGGGTTTAGTGAACCATGTAACCATAGAAGTAAATGACAGTGAGGAGTGCCACGGTCTTGATACTCAATAACTCCATAATAATTTTTTACGAAGCCAAATACACCACCTTCTTTTCTATTATATCCAATAACTGTATTTAAGATTAATTTAGTGATCACATCAAAGTATTTAGAAACAGCCGAAGGGTCGAGATGGGCAAGTCGAGCATGTTCAGTAGCTTTTGGAAAATTTTTAGGTAAAAGAGTATTAATATTAATTTCATTACCAGCATACATCATTACTATTGGACTATGGAGGTCAGTTGGATTAATAGTAAGAAATAGCGAAGGCATGCCATCTCTTATAATTATTGCAAATATTTCATTTCATATGCATAATCGTGACTGATGCGAGGCCATTAGTTTTGAGCCAGCGATGTTAATATTTCTAAGTAGTTCAAGAATTACGGTGTTTGTTATAGGTTCATTATTTTGTTCTTGTTCGATTGCTTTTTTTATATTCTCAGGAGTAATAGTTGTAATTAAATCAGCTGATCGCTCAAAATTTTTATCCTTAGTTAGATTATAAGCTGCAGAAGATACCTCTCATCATTGTAAGATATCAAATGCAATGAAAATAAAGGATCTATGGTGACGGAATTTGGGGTCGTAAATACGCATAAGATGATTAAGGTATTCTTTTAAAAATACACGTGGAATATGGCCTTCATAACCACCAATACCATAAGGGAAAAGTACAGGAAATGCAGCAGGAAAGAGAAAATTATCTCTATATTCATTTAGGGGTTTATGACCGTGAGAAATATATATTATAGGATTTTCCAAATGAATAGCTTCATTTGTATTATTATTTCTAACTGGAGTATCAAATTGGGTATTAATACGCTTGTTGATATTATTTGCAAGTTTTTGAATTGCAAGTAAATTGAGTTTATTTTCTGTCATTGGAATATTATCAGTATTTAAAATGCCAGATGGTCTAAGTTCAGATGTTTCGCTCATCGAATTTTCATCATTATTACTATCTGACTCATTATGGTCAAACAGATCTTGAACATAGCCAGTATAATGTTCAAATTCTCGCGGGTCAAGATTAACATGAGTAGTTGTTAAAAGTAAAGAATCAGGAATATCTCCTTCAGGAAATGCATCTAAAACAGTTTTATTGAATTTGAAATCTTTAAATAATATATTATGCTTAAAAAGCCAGTGAAGGGCAATATTAATTTTGTTTTTTTAGACTTGAAGGACTTTCTTAAGATGATAATCAGTCGGCTTTCCATGCCCAATAAACATAATTTTTATATATTCGCATAAATGATAAGTTGGTAAGAGTAAAGTTTTAATCAATGATCCTGGGTTTTGAGGTAACGTGATAATATGACCTTTGAGTTTGTGATGGGTGTGTCTTTTATTTGTTAATTGAATAATATTTATGCATGTATATCCTGGTGAAATTAAAATTTGCTCAGGAATAGTTAAGCCTTGAAGGCATGAAGGCGTAGGGCCAATCCACATATTATTGGCTAAGGAAAGTGGTGGGGTTTTATGGTTTTGCAAAGAAGTAAGACAAATTTTACAAACTCGTAAATTAAAGGAATCATTAACATTATTGTTATGAGGTTCAGAATTACAAGGTATAAACCTATTACGATCAAAAAGAATTTTTAATCCAACAGAGTCAATATAAGGGTGATTATAGTGAAAATCGATTTCAAAAGATGGATCAATAAGATGTTGAGGTGCTTCAATTAATGATAAATCGATTTTATTAGCTTGAATTTCTTTGAAATCTTTATTATCGCATAATTTTGAGCAGAGCGCACATGGCAGTTCTCTCAAATTGTCTAAGTTAACTTTATCACGAAACTCAATTAATGCATTTTTTGATATATTTGATTCAATTGAGTATGGCCAATTAGAATGATCTTTTTTCAATTTAACGAAATTTTCATCTATTTCTAAAATACGTAGAAGTACATTGAATTGATTGGCTTGCTGATCTTTAGTAAGATGTTCATAAGTTCTTTCTCATTTTCAATGAATTTTCCAGGCTGCATTCTACGAATGTTCATAATTTTGTCTTTTTTTATGTTCAAAAGTTCTAAAGTCTTTGTTTTGGCATTTTGATTTGATTCGTTTATAGATTTTCCTTTTTCTTGCTTTACCTTTGGTTTCAATAATAGACATTTCGATTTAAACAAAGAAAAGCAAAATTAAAGCAAATAATCGATTGAAATACAAGTATTTAAATAATTTTTGATTATACTAGAAGAGTTAAGCTAATTTTTTTTTTAATAAAAAAAAAAAACATAAGAGGATGCTTATATTATTAAACATAGAATACATAAAAAAGGATATATATATATATATATATATATACATACATATATATATATATACATATATATGTTGTATTTACATCATTCATATAAGGCGGTATCCACAATTTACGTTAAACTATTATTGTATTGTATAAAAATAGGGAATGCCATTTAGTATTATGTTTGTATTATCTTTAAGATCCTTATGACAATACTGGTTTAACGTAAATTGTGGATGCTGCTTAAGGATTTTACTGATGTCATTAGATAAAACACATAGGTTGTATTTTATTTAAAAATGATTATATTTCAAACTTACGTTTGGTATATCCATGCATTTAATTGATATTTTTTAGCCTTTTATTTTATAAGATTAACAAATTTTTTTTACTTGAATGAGATTTCAACCTTGGGGATCGATTATTTAGAGTTATGTTATACAAAAAAGGATTATTGTAGTAGTATGATTTAATTGTTCAGTAAGAAATATGATCTTTCACGATCATGATATTGATTTAAACTAACATTGGTATGGTATGAATTTGAACATAAAACTTGAATAGTGATCAAAAAATTTACCCATCAGGAGTTCGTCTAAAGCTGTATAGTTTTTAAATTGATTAATAATAAATTTGTAAATTAAAAAGCACGTGATGCATATAAATTACTACTTGGCTTTAGTCGATCTCCTTATGAGGAAGTTAATTAAGTAACAATCTTGATTTATAGTGGTAATGATGTATTATATTCGTATTACAGACTTTATTCAAGTCGAACAGATGGATTTATACTAATTTTTATCTGAAATTTAATTTAAAAGATAAGCAAATTGGATTATTAATCGAGAACATGAGAAAACATACCCGATCTAAACCGTGAAGGATTATATTTGTAATATTGGTAGTTAACTAATTTATTATTACAAAATGATTTTTTAATACGCTGCACACCACATATAAGATTGAGTTTGGATCAAGTATGTTTTTTTTTTGTTCTAATCGAGTATATCATATATTTAATAATCTGTAAATCACATGGGTTCTGGAATATTGCGTAAAAATAACGTTAGAAAACTAAATAGATAGATTATATAACAGATTTGAGACGATTTTGAATAAAAATTAGTGTTTCCGGTAAAAGTATAAGAATAATGAAGTATAATTAAGAGCTTTTAAGACAAGCATAGTAACAATAAAGAAATTTACACAAAATTTAATGATTAGAATAAAAGTTAAAAAGTAGAGAAAGCTTTTTTTTTTATGCATACAGTATACTAGTGTGAGAAAAAAAGGTAATTTCTGACTACATATTATTATTCATTATTTATTGAATTCGATTCATAAAAACTTGATAACGCATTTATTATACGTACATAATTGTTATATCATATTTATTACTAATTAAGTTTTTTACATCAGAATTCAGTAAATGATATATGATGGATTTAGAAGCTTAAATTTCGTTTTCTTCGTAAAACTCATATACTGTATGGGTAAAAAGTAACTGAGCAGTGATTTTTTTTTTTTTTACCAATATCAATTATTTATTTATTATATTTATGTAATACTGACATAAATAGTAAAATGATACTTTAGCGATTAAAAAATGCTACTGTCCAGTTATTTTTTATTCACCCAGCATATAAATAGTCAAATGGTTTTTTTTTTTTTTTTGTGTAATCAAATTTTACATCTTATGTTGAAAGACAAATTATTTAATCGTAAAAAATGCTGACTCACATTTCTCTTCTTGTGGTTATCATAGCAGTAAAGAGTAATCGTTCTTGTTCGTATGGTCTTGCTAAGTATAAACTATCTAATTAAACAACTAAGACTATTAGATGGAAATATTTTATTCCTACCGACCCACCAGCTCAACAAATTATGTTCAGTGACATTATATTCATTTCTGGTAAATACATCATCGAAAATACAGAAGAATGTGTAACAGTTGCATACGCAAGTATTGTTAATACCGAAAATGCCGAGCATGAATTCAATAGTTATAATGTTCCTGTATGTGATCCGCATGTTATGTTTTATGTGGGTGTTAATCGTAAGCCAAAGGAGACAGAAGATTTTATTCATTTCGGTGCAGAATGTATTGAATACAATTCGGTCACTGGGTCATCTAATATCGCAATGGAAATGACAGTCCTTTATCTATCACAATCAACATGATTTAAATATTTAGGAATCGTAGGTGCTAACATCAAAGTAGGAAACAAGTATACCATATCAGGGCATGTGAAATTTTCAGATTTAGGCAAGATGATGATCGAAGCTACAGATATAGACTATGTAAAAGGTTCAGAATTTAATTATAATACAAGTGAGAATTCATCCTCCATTAAATCTAATGTGCGATCGATTATTAATGTTATCGCTGATGATGTTGAATCTACCAGCCTTCCTATAAAAAAGTCTAAGTTCAGTGTCTTTTTTAAAGAAGATAAGAACAGTGCAGCTCTTGATTCATATGAGCCAGTAAAAACTAGTATTAATGTAGATAAAGAATACAGATCATCATCTGAAAGTAAAAAATCGATAAACTGTGTTGATTTAGGAATGGCTAATGATTATCAAGAAAAGAATCTTAATCTAAATAAGGATGAATTCACTAGAGATACAAACAAAGAAGAAAATATTCAAGACGATGAACAATATGAGAAATGCCAAGAAAAATCAAAAAAAAGAAGCACAAGAAAAAGGAAAAAATGCAAAAAGAAAATAAAAATACGATTAAGATGCTTAGTACACCAGTTATAGTTTTTAAGTTTAATATACTTATATATAACTTAAACATAACTGAAAAAATTTTCGTTAATAAATGATGTATTTATAATTATAAAATTAAAAGTTTTATAAAACAATTATTACATAACAAATAACCGAATTTACATTACTAAATAAATAAAAATTTAAAAATCAATAATTATCTACAAATAAACTGTGATAGATATAACTTGAATTTTAAGTAGTTAGTCGTGATAAATGAAACCCAAAGCTACAATACAGTTTATATAATCTCATCTGATTTTTTTTATATTAGTTACGCATGTTCAATCCAAATACAGTTTAAAAGATTCAAGCTTCAATCTATATGCGTTATTCGATCAAATATTAAAATAAAATAATACATATTCATGTACATATATTAAATTACAAGAAAAAGGCATTTTTAATAATAAATATAAATGAATTTTATTATAAAAAAATAACATGAATTCTGGTACACTATTACCATAAAAAAATAACATGATAAAAGCATGTTAAAAGTTATCTTTTTTTTTTTGCTCTCTGAAACTAACTAGTATTAGTATAAACTACGACAGTATATAATAATAATGAAGCTAAGTGCATATTATATAACATGTAAAATCACAGAGACTCAATGCCCAATCAAATGCAAGATTTTGCATACACGCCATTCTAGATAGCAGTTAACCATACACTCCGTTATGAAAGCATAACTTCATTCCTGGTATAGGCAGAATAACTATTTGGTTAATTTTTTTATAAGATGACATGGGTGAAACGGCGAGTCAGTCGCTTGACAAACGGGTATGTCATGTACCTACAAGTCAGGCTTAGTCAGAGAGGCGTGTTATATTTGGGCGAGGGTATAGTTATGATTGTAGGTATGGTTTGTATTATATATTGAAACAGAGAAT